AAACAGTTAACAATATCAGGGACATGGGGTAAATGAAGACTGCCAATGTAGTGTAGTGGTTAGAGTGTCCAACTAGTGTCCAGGAGGCCAAGGCTCAAATTCCTATTCTGCCATGGAGGTTTGCTGGGCAACCTTGTGCTGGGCATACACTCTGCGTCTAATCTACTTTACAGGGCTGTCATGAGTTGCCGCATGACGGAGTGAGCTCCCGTCTCTAGTTCCAGCTCCTGCCAACCTAGCAGTTCAAAAGCAAGACATTGCAAGTAGATAAATAGGTACCGCTTCAGTGGGAAGGTTAACAGTGTTCCATGCACCTTGGTGTTTAGTCATGCTGGCCACATGACCACGGAAACGTTTTCGGACAGCACTGGCTATTCGGCTTTGAAACGGAGATGAGCACTGCAACCCTAGAGTCAGACTCGACTGGCTTTCGAGCAAGGGAACCTTTACCTTTACCTTTACATGGGGATAAAAAGGGTCCTCCATTGGAGAGAAAAGGTGAAGTATAAATGAAGTAGCATTCGAATAAAATAAATGTTACAAAGATGAAGGAGGGGGCTTGACATTAAGCTGTCATTGTTTGGAGGCATCCCTATGGGTTTTGAGGTTTTGGCTTAGTGGTACAGCACTGTAGCGGAGCACTCTATATGGATTTTGAATATTGTAGATTGGGCCTATACAGGTCTACACTGTATTTGATCATTGTTGGTTTTCAGGTCCATTCTGTAAGAGTTTGAAATATGTTTTTATCCACTTATGATATGATCCATTCTGAGCCCATTTGCGGGGGAGAGCGGAATATAAATCTAAAAATAAAATAAATATAAATAAATATATTGATGTTTAACTTATGGAGTGCTCAGCTTTTATTTTACCACTGAGGAAGGCTTCTTAACCAAAACCCATTTGGTTCTCATAGCTGGATACACTTTGTACCTTTTAACCTGTATTTATATATTCTGACATTTGTCCTGATATTAGGTATAGGTACTTCTATATAGATCCTGCCAACCTAGTAGTTCGAAAGCAAGAAATTGCAAGTAGATAAATAGGTACCACTTCAGTGGGAAGGTAACAGCATTCCGTGCGCCTGGGTGTTTAGTCATGCCGGCCACATGACCATGGAAATGTCTTTGGACAGCGCTGGCTCTTCGGCTTTGAAACGGAGATGAGCACTGCAACCCTAGAGTCGGATTCGACTGGCTTTCGAGCAAGGGAACCTTTACCATAGATGTGTAGTTTTTATTGTGTTTTTAATGTTTCTTATGCATAATTAAAACATATGTGTTGTAACTCAAGATCAGGTGTTAGGATATATGACAGTTGGTGAAGTGATGTATGTTTGACTTATTAATATGTCCTAATAAAATTATTGTTTTTTTAAAAAAAGATCAGGTGTTAGCCAAACTGTCTTGATTCTGATTGATATTTAGGGGATTTAAGATGTACCACGAGGCAACAGGCAGATAAGGGATCAAGAACCAGTGTATACAGGGGTCCCACTTCTTCCCAGCTCACCAGGAATAGACTCAAAGGCAGGCTTCAGTATAAAATGATTTCCTTTACTGAAGATGTATCACAAGCATACAATATCACAAACACACTCACAATTATACAGTTCTAAGAAAATTAGAACTGCTGCCGTCTATAGACATCAGCCATGGGAATGCAGGTGACTGCACATTACTATAGCGCCATGCCTTTCACGTCAGTGAGCTAAATCTGTCCCTTAAGTCCTTTCATTAGCACCAAAGGTCACCAGTGAATAGGCTAATTTTCCTCTCCACCCATTCTCCTTCCTGCTTAAAGAAAATAAGAGCGTGCCAAGGCTGAAGGACCGCCTCCCCGCCTCCTCTGCTACGTAAGTAAGAGAAAATGAAGGGGTTGGAACACTTGTGAATGCATCAGTAACTTCAGGGCCTTTTAAGGGCATTCTATTTCTTCCAAATACTTATTTGGAAATGGTTCTGTCCTTTTAAAATATGAGATTTTAAAAAAAGTATTTAGCATGGGGGTGCTAAGGTATATTACTTATTTTGATACAGAACTCTTTGAATTCTTGTTTTCTGTATATCAGGTCCCCCGATCATTTCTGTCCAAGTGCACAGTGTCTCCCCTTTTAATCACCATCTTACCTGGTATAGATAGGGTTCCCAACTTTGGGCTGTAAAATTCCTGGAGATTTGGGCAACAAGCCTGGGGAGGATAGAGTTGGGGTGGGGCTCAGCATGGATCTGATGTCATACAGTCTACTAGCTGTCCTCTAGGGGCAAAGCAAAACAAAAACCAATGGCTCTATTTAACGAGAAGTATATTGCAAAATATGAGACTTTAAATTATGTCATTAGGCTTAATGTCAACATTCCTTAGATAACAGGAGCAATAGCATCATTCAATAGATAACAAGAGCGATCTTCAGAAGGCTTCAGCAATGCAACAGCAACTGTACTATGTGTCCAATAAAGTGCTTCACAAATCCATCTTGTCTCTCTTCATTCTTAAAGTTGTAGACCACTGAATATTAAAGTGCTACATAGTAGTATACAATGCTTTAGCGCTTCACATATGTCATATTCATATTCATATCTTCCAACTATATTCCAAATATCAATATGATATATATGAAACACAGGTAACCTAGAACTGAGCACATCCTCCTCTAAGAACATAAGAACATGAGAGAAGCCAATGTTGGATCAGGCCAATGGCCCATCCAGTCCAGCACTCTGTCACACAGTGGCCAAAAATACCAAGTGCCATCAGGAGGTCCACCAGTGGGGCCAGGACACTAGAAGCCCTCCCACTGTTGCCCCCTCCCAAGCACCAAGAGTACAGAGCATCACTTGCCCCAGACCAAGAGTTTCTACCTATACCTTGTGGCTAATAGCCACTGATGGACCTCTGCTCCATATGCTTATTTAATTCCCTCTTGAAGCCTTCCATGTTTGTAGCTGCTCCCACCACCTCCTGTAGCAGTGAATTCCATGTGTTAATCACTCTACAACTCAGTTGAGTGGTTCAAGACTAGATGAAGGTGGTTTCCATACAGGGACAACCTTGTGTGGTTTCTCCATGGCTGGTGCAGCTCTTGATGCAGTGCAGTGGCAATGTGGCTTCCACATGGCAAGTTTATCCTCAGTGTCTCTGCCCCAGTCTCTTGGGAGTGGTCATTCCCCCTCCACCTGAACCACTGGGACTTTTAATTTTTTTAAAAAAAATCAGAAATTCTATATTGTTATTTTGATATAATAGTATAACAATGTGATTAACATGTTGTCTGAATTCTCAGCTTGTATTTTGAAAAAAATATCTAGCCCCTCCCATTGTAGAGATATACTTCCCCTTCTTTAAGCAAAAAAGCTAAAGACTTAGTTTTCTTTTTTAATAAAAGATGGGAATGCTGTGAGCCTGTTATAACACATATTGTTATATTAATATAATAGGATTTAGTTGTCAATTTGAAAAGGCCCCCTGGTGTTTTTTTTTTTGGGGGGGGGGGGGAAATGGCTGCCTTGTGGCCGAGACCAAGAAAACCTAGATTTTTCCATCCACACGGCAGTCATTCAGGCTTCACTGCAATCTTTCCCAAAACTTTGGTGCAAAGCAGGTTTGGGAGAGGCCAGGTACACAACAGCACAACAATGCTGTGAGAAACAAGAATAATGCTGCAGGAAGCTGTGTATGTATGTGTTACACACACATACATGCACATACAAACACATACATACATACAGATTTTAAAATGTTATCAGTCTGAATTTGAAAAAATCGTATCAACTCAGTTGTGGATAATCAAGTTAATCTTTTTATTTGGATTAACAAGCCAAGATTTAATTGCAGAATCCATGATATCCATATTAACTAAGGTGACTTGGCCATAGTGTAGTATTTTTGGTGCATTTTCAGGAAATCGAGCTGTTTCCAGACTACAGATCCAGTTCTTTAGCAGGGTTCTTCTCCACATGGAGAGGCAGGTGTATCTTCTTCCCTTTGTGTTAAATGCTATCAAGTCACCTCCAATTTAGGGTGACCCTATGAATGAATGAACTTCAAAATGTTCTGTCATTAACAGCCTTGTTCAGGTCTGTTATAATGTTATGTGAACAATATGTGCAGATTAGGTAACTCTCATGGATATGCCATTTCAGATGAATGGGGAGAAGATGATCTTGCACGTCTGAGTTCTCATTTTCTAGTCTTTCCCCCAGTGTCTTGCATAATATGGGTGAAGACGTGAACTCCTGTTACATCTGGTGTGGCTATGGCAGTGCCATCCTAAAAAGAGTCCCCCCCCTCCTAAGTCCATTGCAATTAACGCTACTACTCCTGCAGCACATAACATCATAAGAAGAACCTTGCTGGTCCATCTGTCTCACACAGCAGACAAGAAGTTGCCTTGGATGGGACAGCAACAGGGCACAGAGGCCAAGGATTCTCCTGGTGAGCTGATAAGAATGTGATTCTTTCTGTTTAGGACTGCATAGTTATCTCACAAGCTTGGTCCTAGCACTGGTATTCAGAGGTTTACTGCCTCTGAACGTGGAGGTTCCCTTTAGTCACCACAGCATACGTACATAAGAGCACCTATTTTTGCTCAATTATCATTAGATTAAAAGAGAGGGTTTGCCATATAGCAAAATGTTCTTAGTCCATTGTCATACAGTGTATCCAAAATATCTCTTACAGACCAATTCTATGCAGTAACAGTAGATACAATTTAGTTTTAGGCTGCAATCCATTGAATAACTATTTGGGAGTAGTTTGCACAAAATTCAATGGGCTGCCTTTTGAGTCAACATGCATAGGATTGGGCTGATAGTCTTTTGCCTGCTCTTTGCTATCCAAAGGTAGATAAAGCTTTTACCTTGACCCCCTGGTAATTTCTACTAATCCATGATTCTGCTAAGGCTACCAATGGTCAATCTTCAGTTCTAGAACTTCCTGTAAAAGTATATTTTCTGAGCTTTTTCTTCATAATTCTATCCAGTCTTCTTAGTAATTCATTTTTTTGCACATTTTTTGATATCTTCCAGGAGATCAGACATTAGAGTGATACTAAGCGTCTGGACCATAAAATCCTCAAAGTCAATGGGTTCGTTTTTGCTCTCGTCGAAACTGGCAAGGATTTCCTGATATTTCGGCTTCCCTTCTTGGCCCTGTAAAGGAAGTTGAATTATTTGGCGGTAAAATATGGAATCTACTTTCATCAGTGCTAATGTGGGGAACCATTCAGCAATGAAACATGCTTTGTAGGTAGATTGCAGGATCAGAGGTCCATTTAATGAATGGGGAGAAGGGCAATAGCCTCCTGCTGTTTCAGACTGTGTGAAACTTATCCTCAAGAGCACCCTTCTCTCCTGTTCTGCACAGTGAATGATATGGTTAGAACCACTACATGAGTTTATGTGCTAGGTATGCACACTGAATTCACAGATCTCTCTGTTTAAAGCAAAGGATGATTAAAGTGGATATAGTTATTTTGAGACATAACAAATGCTCTTAAAATACTCTTCTTTTTTTTTAAAAAAAATCCGTATAATATATCTAGTGACAGATATATTCAAATGTCTCTCTCCCCACCACCACCAGATCCTGACATGGCACCCTTGTGTAGAATCTCCTCTCTACTGGATTTTTAGGGAGACTGGGGGATCCTGTTGTAGGCTAGTTGTGTGAAACCTCAGATATTCATCTGAGGGTTGCTCGCTGGCCAGGAGAAAAATGCCCTGTCCTTTTAATAGAGGTGTACAGTGCAGTTCTAACCAGAATCACACTCTTCTAAGTCCACTGAAGTTCTTAGAAGGCTCCAACTGTACTCAGGACTGCACTGTTCATGTGTGGTAATGCGCAGATGAACCTTTACATGGCATTGAGGTAAATAACACCCCATTAAGCCCCCTTTAAAGGAAAAGGCCTGTTGTCTTCAACCATTGTAACAAGAAGCCTAAAGACAAATTATATGGTTTGGGCCCAACAAAGCTGAAGGACCACCTATTCCCTTTTGAACCTACCTGACCACTATGGTAATCTTTGGAGGCTCTACTTTGAGTGTCCCCCCCCCCTTATGAGATTAGGCATTTGGCAACCTGGAAGAGAGCCTTCTTCATCATGGCACCAAAGTTCTGGAACTCTCTCCTGAGGGAGATTCATCTGTCTCCTTCTGTTACCATTAGGGATGGGCACAAACCAGGAAAATGTTAGAGACACCAAACTCACAGGGATTCTTCAGCAGGCTCTCCTCCATTGGCCCTCAAAATTTGGCAAGGATTGGATTTGGGATGTCTATGTTATAGCCCCCCCCCCAGAGTAGGTGCCCCCAGGAAAGCTCAGCTCTAGCCTCCCCTTAAATCAACCATGCAGCAAGCAATTCTTCCTAACTGCCTCTCATACAAGGACTAACTCCTCTCTCTTCCTGCTGCAAAGGGAAAGCAGCTGAGTTAGGGTGTGGTATGTATACACACACGCACACAAATCTGCTCCCATAGAGCAGAATGGGAGCTCTGTGGTTGGCTCCCAGAGCTGCCAATCAAGCCATGGACAATTGCTATGAGTGTTTCTAGAGTTCTCCAGATGTCCACCCCCCAGTGTTGCCTAGGAATTGATTGAATTGGTGCCAGGCTGTCTGGAGAATGAACCACTCTAATGAACCAAACAAACCTCTGAAAAAAGGCGGTTTGTTTTTGGATTCAGGAATGATACAACCAAATGAACTGGTTCAAAATGAACTATGAACTGGCCTGTTTTGTGCTCAAACTGCAGTTAGTTTCTCTGTTAGTGCCCATCCCTAGTTACCATCTTTCACCAGCAAGTGAAGACTTTTTTGTTTCATTTTTGTGTTCCCCCAGTGATCCCTCCTTCCTGCCCAAGGTTTTAAACATTGTTTTGATGTCTTTTCATGTATTTGCACTCTGGTTTTAATTGTTTTAATGATGTGTTGTGGTGTTGGTCGGTTTCAATGGATTTAAACTGATTTTATTATGTAAGTTTTAATTGGTTAGCTGCCTTAGTGGCCCTTGTGAGGACAGAAAGGTAGGATCTAAATTCTGAAAATAAACAAACAAACAAATTCATTTCAATTCTCTTACCTGAATAAAATGTGTAAACTGAGTTTGTAGCAACTTTTTAGCTTCAGATCTGATGAGTTTCCCCTCAGCATCTGCAGCATTATTGTACACTAAGACTAACGTAGTAACAGCTTTCTCTAGATCAGAGCCTTTCCCTAGAGCTGAGGGGGAAATAATGCTTAGTTAATATAGAAAAGAACTTTCTAGAAAGGCCACAGATAGTCAGCAAGACTAAATCAGACTAATTCCATTAGGAAAATGTATTTGAAGCAGAAGCAGGTTTGACATTGACGTATGTGATCCTGGGCCTCAGGAAAGAGCAACAACTTGAGGTAAGATGAGGTACAGGAGGCCTTTTGCACTCCGAACTTTAATGATACACTCTATATTGCAGTTAGGGTTGCCAACTCCACATGGGGAAATTCCTGGAGATTTGGCGTTGGAGCCTGGGAAGGGGGAGTCAGGAAGGGAGGGATCTCAGTGGGATATAGTGCCACAGAGTCCACTCTACAAAGCATCCATTTCCTTCAGAGGAATTGATCTCTGAAGTTTGGAGATTAGTTGTAGTTTTGGGAGATCACCAGCCCCTACCCCTGGAGGTTAGTAACACCAGTTGCAGTTGCTGTTATGAAGCTATAGCTAGGTCGCCCCATTTGATCACAAAAACACAAATCCTATGAATAGAGTCAGTGAGTAAAGTTAAAGCCAAAGGGAAGCCAATTGGGAGAATAGAGTTGCCAAGCTCCAGGCAGGACCTGGAGATCTGGAATTACAAATGATCTCCAGACTATAGAGATCAGTTTCCCTGGAGAAAATGGCTGCTTTGGTGGCTAAACTCCATAGCATTATACCCTGTTGAGATCCTTCTCCTTTCCAAGTCCCACCCTCCCCCAAATCTCCACCACAGTAGGGGGCAGGAGGGTCATTTGGCCTGGACTTCAAGCTCAATTGGGGCCTCAAATAAGGGGCCTACAGGTCTCCCACAATTATAACTGGTCCCCAGACTTCAGGCATCAACTTCCCCGGAGGTAATATTAGCTCCAAGAGGCTAACGCTATGGCATCTCCTTCCTAGTCTCCATCTTCCCAAATTCTGCCCCAAAATCCTAACCCAGATGTGCAACCCTAGCTTCAAATATTGATATTTTGTATTTTTAATCAGTTTTGCCACTTGTTTTTATGCACAGAATGTGTCATCATTCTAAAATCTTTATTATTCTTCAAAGCTGGTGGGCTGGACCTCTGACAGATTTGCTGAACTAGCCAGGGTAGAAAAACTTAGCTGGTCAGGTGTGGATCCTGGAAGCATCCAGAAGGGAAGGGATAGACTCTAGTGGATTAAGAGGAAAACCATGACAGGTTCTCACAGGACATGGGTGGAATATGGGCAGAACCTGGCAGGTTATAGATGGAGCCAAACAGAATCTAAAGTTTACTGCTTGAACAATAAAGTACTGAGCCATGAAGTCTGCTGGACTCCTGAGACCACCATTTTTCTGCTCTGTGAATCTCCTACCCATTTATTTCATGGGTGACTTCTCTAGTAAATGACATGTTGTCTGACTCTGACCTTCACTTGTGGCTCCTCCTTTTTGGATTGGTACTTTAGACCTATTCACAAGACATATCCACATTCACTGAATAGGTGAAGAAGGTTGAAACATTTGAGCCTATTGGCCTCAATCCTAACCTCCACACTTTGTTCCAAAAGTCTAAATAGAGAGCCTATGCATGAACATATTTAGGCTTTTGGGGTGAAAATAGGGAGAATGGGAATGGGGACAGCAGGTCTGATCCTGGCCTCCCCTAAACTAACCATACAGAGGGGTTCATATTGTACTTTTGCTATGAACCCCAACTATTGCACAACATTTTCTAAGGGAGGCTGGTCATGTTCTTGGCCAACCTTGACTTGCATTCACAATCAGGTTATCTCTGAAGGCACAGCACTCAGATTAGCTCTGAAGGTACAGTGGGAAGGTATTTGAGTCCTAAGTGGAAGAGCCTTAGAGTGTGTTCCCTCAATAACAGAGGGAACTGCAGAAATGCTTGGCTTTGGGAGGGCTATGATGCTTGCTACTCTGAGTTAGGATTACCATTTCTTATTTATTGATCTCATCTGATACTGTCCCAGTACCTAGGAGTAAACAACTGGAGTAAGTCACCTTACCTTTGATAGAAGCCAGCTGCTTGGATATTGGAATACTGGGAATGAAATAGAGACACACGATCACTATGGGGTAATTATGACAAGAATTGGATTTCTGTTTGTTTCCTTTCATGGGTATAATATCATTAATAGTAGCAGGAGGCTTTCATTATTTAAACTTTCTCCTTTATAAAAGTTGCCTTCAAACAGATAAAAGGCTAATCAGATTGGCCTGCATGTGAGAATGGAATATCTGCATGTGACTCATATCTGTCCATATATGTCTGGAGCAGTGATGCTCTGCATTCTTGGTGCTTGGGGAGCAACAGTGGGAGGGCTTCTGGAGTTCTGGCCCTGTTGGTGGGCCTCCTGATGGCACTTGGGTTTTGGCCACTGTGTGACACAGAGGTTTGAACTGGAGGGGCCACTGGCCTGATCCAACATGGCTTCTCTTATGTATCTAGAACCTGTATGCTTTGGCCCCAGATGCCTATATTTGGAATAATTCTGGTTTTAAATCCCGTTCCTAAAGCTGTTCGTAAATGTGGTTCAGGAACTTGGGGGCTGCCTCCATGTACAGCCCTCTACTGTCCTACTCCTTGCCCAGAAATGGAGTGCCAGGATTAGGGGCTCAAAAAAGGGTTCAGGATATACCACGATGGTGCAAGAAGATACATGGCTAGGCAAAGATAGGGGGGCTGGCAACAGACCTGGAAATAAAGGTCTGTCCTGATTAATAAAAGCTAAATGGGATTTTTTAAACTAGAAGATGTTATGTACCATCGTAAATCGAGCATGCCACGGCCCTGTTATAACGGATGGTCTTTTCTTACTGGATCATGTATAGGAAACTGCCGCCATCTGTTTGCACTGTTTGTACTAGCACTTTATGCAATTATTTTATTATGAATTTTATGGTGTTTATTGATCTTATTGTATTTTAATTTATGTAAGCCGCCTTGAGCCAGTTTGTACCAGCAAGGCGGGGTATAAATTGGAAGTAAATAAACAAAATAAAATAAATAAATGTACGTCCATGACATGAAAAGCTTCAACTGCCTATTTCCACACATTAAACCTCAATGAAATGATGGTGGCTCTGAATGGAATAAGTCAAGGACCACCTTATCCTGCTGCGTTATTAAAGCTGCAGCTGTGGTGGGATTGATCAGTGCCTGGATGACTGACCACTGTGAGCCTCACGTGAGCCTCTCTGAGGTTTCAAAAGGAAGAATCGGATGTGATACATTACTACTTTTTTTTTTAAAAAAAATTAATCTATCAAGAAAATCTTTTTGGAGGTTTTTCACATTCTTCCTCTAGCTTTAAAACTTTTGTATTAAAAAATTATTACTGCTGCTAACGCCTGAGGGATTAATTAGACTCCTACCCCCAAACTGTGGAACCTCTTCACATATATGCGTGATACAAATCAACCCAAAATTAATCATGAACTTTGAAACAAATGACTGCTGATTAAAGAGAAGAAGAGAACAGGACTGTCACTTACCGTTTGGGCATTTTCCTTGACTTTGAAGTTGCGTCTTTGGCAGAAGAAGCCTCTGCTTTTTTAAAAGAATACGACCTTGTGTTCTCAGAACTAGAGGTGCAGCCGCACATCCTTCACTACAGCCTCAGCACTGTTTATGATCACTAAGCAACTCAAGGGACTGCAAACAGGTAAACGCGAGCCTTTGTGCTGTGAAGGGTGAAGCTGGCGCAGCCTGCTTTCTGACTGGGCTGCTCAGTTGTGGAGAGGCTACCTGGTAGTCCCATTGATGGCTAAATAAATCAGTCTGAAGGGAAGGACCAGAAAGCAGTTACTGTTTGCAACACACGTATTGCGAAAGGTGCCTGTGAGTCTGTCTTGTGCTAAAACAAACAGAAGTCTTTGTGGAAACTTTTAAAGACTGGCGGATTTCTTGCAGCATAAACTGAAGGGGACAAGAGCCCAATCCATCCGCTAAAGGAAAAATGACCTACATGGTAATAGCATAAAGTGTGTGTGTGTGTGTGTGTGTGTGTGTGTGTGTGTATATATATATATA